AAAGTGTTATTTATAAAAGTTGTAGATGTCTACTAGACCTACAACTTTTGTACATAACATTTTTCGATAGAACGTCACAGTAAAGCCGAAATTGAAAAAAAAAACATTTTTCAACGCTTTGCGCCCCGCTATTTCTCGGGGGTAGCTGGGCATCGGGGGCATTTACGAATTTGAATTCCCTATATACCTGCTAACATTTTAAAATCATAAACATCAGATTTTCAATATATATATATATATATATATATATATATATATATATTCTTAAAAATAAGCGGATTCCGATTGGCCTATTAGTAGGAAAAGGTGTGACGTTTCACGTCTTTGTGACATCAAATAAATTCAATATACCACGTCTTAATAAGTTTCACTCAAAAAAACACGCTCAGGCAGGGATGAGCGGGTTTTAACATGCGGGGCCCCCTTTTGCGCGGGGCCCGTAGCAATTGCTACTCTTGTTACGTGGTTAATCCGGCACTGAGCTACCTAAACCTTCTGGATTTTTATCTAAATTATGGTAAAAGCTGCGTCAAAATGAGTCTGATTTTATAAGATCTAAGCGCACAAAAGACACAGCGACTTTGTTTTATAATATTTTGAAATTAATTTACAATCCTTATATAAAGAATCCTTAAATTGTCTGAGTTTATAAGAAAGGAAAAAATGTTACATTTTTACAATTTAAATATTTGTTTTTTAAGTTTTACATACACATAAAAATGTTTTGCAATTCAGTCTTTATAGATACAATAAAACCTTTTTGAAACGGAATCTACCTAATGTATGCGGATTTCATTATAATTATGTATGAAATATTTTAAAACTAAAAAAGAAACTTATTTTAAAAAATCTATTAAAGGTTTTTGTTTATATATATATTTTTGCTAATTAAACTAACAATTTCTGTGAAAATACCTTAATCACTTATAAAATATTAAATTACATATTAATGTTAATTTTGAAACGAATCATTTTTGTCAATCAACAGTCCTTTAAAATATTCAGATCTTCTAAGCTTATGGAGGTCCACCTTTAGTTTTCCATATATGTATGTACGTACATACAGTATTTTCTATAATTTTCTACAGCCAAGGTATACGTGATAATTATAGCTTCGAAGTTCATTGCCATGCACCAGCATTTTCTGTGACGACGTACATTCCTAGTAACTAGATTTTTTATATCGTTCATTCCGGTTACTCGCAGGTAAAAAATACATTTTTCAGCCTCTGAGCTCTTCGAACCAAACTCTTAAAACATTGATGATGTGTGAATGAGAATATAATATAATATAAATAAAAACTAAAAAAAACCAACTTCCAGGCACAAAAATGTTTAAAATAACTAAACGGGGGTTTTCATTTAGAATAGATACCTAATCAGATATTTTCAATGTCGGTGCCAGCCGATGCAAAGCAAATCTAATATATTTCGATACGTAAAACACGTATTTACCTATATATTACCTAATATATTAATATCTATATATTAAATTATTGTCAGCTGATGATGATGGTGATGGTAGATTTAACCCAGACAACCAGCTATCAATCATTACACCAGATTTCATCAAAATCTGTCCAGTGGTTTTCTCATGATACGTTCCCAGACTGACAGACAGATAGACAAACAAAAAATCTAAAAACTATACATACGGCCTCTGTATCGATTTATTACTTTTTTATTATTATATTATTTATATTATTTTTTACTTCAATAAGATTCTCCAAAAAATGTTTAATGTACATATTCAAATCAGTTAGAATTTTATTATACGTATAGATTTTATTGTAAATAATAATAAAATTGTTATGAAAATATTTTTTTAAATTGTTAGCTTCAAGGACTATTATTCAAGGATTAATAGTTATTCAAATTAATTTTCTACGTGTAATTGCGCACGCTCGTGATTTAATTATATTTCTTATTTATTTACTAATTAGCCATAAAATTCCGCCTGATAACACATAAATAAAAAATCACATAAATAATTAAATTTTAACCAAAAAGGTACACCGAGTTCAAAATAAAAAAAAAATTATGGACCACCCTTGGGGTAAGTCATTAATTACCAAAAGAGTAATTAAAATCGGTAAATAATTGGCAAAGATATCGTATAACATATCCTGTACACATAAATCAAACAAAACATTAGCCAAATCGAGTACTTCCTTTTATTAAAGTCGCTAAAGAAACGACTGCTATAACTCATAATATATGCAAATTGATAAAAATAAACAATCTTGAATATCTTACTTACCCAATACAACTATTATATGTTATCAATAAACATAAATAATAATCTTAACTTCTTATTTATTTACAAACTCATTTTAAAATTCACTATTCACTTAATATTGTTTATAATAAAAAAATGACGAAAAACAAACAAAACACTGATTCGAACCACCTTCCGATTCGGGTGCTAAAGCCACACTAAGGTAGCGTCGCTACTCGCTATGATAGTTCACGTTTTCTAACATATCTTATCTCTCTCGATTTGTAATCTACAGAAGCGATATTGAGAGTCGGTCGCGAGTTCGATTCCCATATAGGGGCTTTAAGTAAAATACATGCTTAAGTAAATTTACTAGGCAAAACGTAATTAGAAAATGTTTGTTTTCCAGATAAATTTAAAAATACGACATTTTTATTTTTCGAAATAAATAGATCTTTAGGCTTTTTAGGATTTGAAATTGAAATAAAATTATTTTTTAGCTTTTCGTTTTGGTTTTTCTTGACATTATAGATGCTCTACAGTAAACACGGTCACGGGTGAGTAAATACTGAGGTGTAAAAATATTAAATAAAAGCGCAAGCGAAGCCGCGGGTTCTACTAGTAGTTTAATATTCGCGTAAATCTAAACTATTATTTAAGATTATTTGTTGTTGTATGTTTTATATCTATACTAATATGTATTATAAAGAGGTAAAGTTTGTGATCTTGTGAGTTTGTGAGTTTGTGACGTTGTAGGGGTTAATCTCTGGATCTACTGAACTGATTTTCAAAATTCTTTTACCAATAGAAAGCCACGTTTTTTCTGAGTGTCATAGGCTATATATTAACCGGAAATATGAAAAGGCTTTTTCGTGGTAGTCGGATTTGTAAAGTAAGTCGGAGAAAAAACGGTCGAACGAGAAAGTTTCTTACGAACGCTGCCTTAACGATGAGAGATATATGATTATGTTCTAGAGAAAAGTTGTAGAGCTTAACAATGCTTACCAAAAAAATCTGCGACAGCATATGTTAAACTTTTATATTTAAGTCACAAAAAGTAGTTTTTTATATTAAAAAAATAATTTAAATCGGTAGGTCATGTTTATTGGTCATATTATCAACAATCATGAATTCTTATTAAAATAAGTAAATTTATCGTCTAAAATGTTTAAAACAAAAGACTTTTCCCTTTTACTGCATATAATTTGGACAAATGGTTAAAGAGATAATACAACATATTCCTAGGTATGGACGAACCCGAGCGAGCTGTTTGTCTGTTTTCCTGTTTGTACAGGCTAATCTCCGAATCTATTGAACCGCTTTAAATGATTTTTTATGGTGGTACCTTATATTCCCGGGCAATATCTTAGATACTTTTTATCCCGGAAAATTAAAGCGTTCCCGTGGGATAGTTAAAAAACTATCACAACTTATACAGCTTGGTACACAAAAACTACTGATTGGATTTTAATGAAACTTTACAATAATATAGTTCATACATGACAAAACAAATCAGCTACTTTTCATCCCGGAAAATTAAAGAGTTTCCGTGGGATATTTAAAAAACTATAGTAACTTATACAGCTTAGTACACAACTTATGCACCTAATTTAGTAAAATTTGGCATGCTGATGCCAGTCAAACAACAGGTTACTTTTCATCCCGGAAAAATGAATGTTCCCGAAAACAAATATTCTGAGATTTCGAGAGCTTATAAAATAATTTTAGTAACCTCTACATCTACATCTATAAATAATTACTACATAAAAATAATTTAGCTCTTTTACACGGGTTACTACTTATCCCGGACCTAAATGCGAGGGGATCAGGCCATAGTCCACCACGCCGACTAAGTACGGGTTAGCGGACTTCACATGCGCTTTAAAAACTTGCTAGGTTCTCTGACAGGTTTCCTAACAATGATATCATAAAGCAAATAAAAAGTAGCTCAACAATCAATTTATATATTTTTTCTTTAAAAAACAAGCTTTACAATTTCATCTCAAGTAAATACCGCTTTACAATATACACTTTAATAATATAGTTTTACATTATTTCTTTATATGGAAATATTATTATACAAATTTTTTAATAACAATTAAGCTATCTACATGTATTTAATATGGACATCACAATAATTTTAATATACAAACATCGTTAAAATGTAAATTATCGTCATACATACGAATTTAAAGATTCATAATGTAACATCACGGTCATAAATGTATCTATAGGAGAATAAATGCCAATTTATGACAAATAATAATAAAAATGTATCCTTATTTAATTTATCTATAAAAATGCTAACATCAACCGCTACCTTTAACCTGCATAATTAAGTTTTTTTTTTAAATTCAATCAATTTTAAAAAAGAAACAAATAAATTCGTTAACGCAGTCAAAGACACCAAAAATAGCTACATATCGATTTTTAAGACTACAATGAAATAAATAATAAATGAAACTGGCTAAGTACATTTTTAAAAGTTTAGTGATTATTAATAAAAAAACCATACAACATCTCTTGTACCTATTAGAGTTCAAATACGTACAATAATTGACCAATTTACAAATCAAAAACAATAACATTATCCAAGTACACATAGAACCAATTTTTAATTAATATTTCAAAATATTGCGGACATAACCCGAGATAGCTAAAAGTTTACGGTCACGTTTTTTTACGCAAACATATCTATCTCAAAGGGGTACGTGACAAAAACTTTATGTTATGGTATTCTATTCGTAGACATTTATTTATTGCTTTATGTATAGAACTATTAAACTTCTTCTCTCGTATTGAGCAGCTTGTAGTAACTGTGGCTGAGAAGGATGGCGTAGATGTTGAGTCCTGGAACCATAACCATAGATAATTATAATATATGTATTTAATATAGGTATATTAGTATTCAGCCGTTTTTTTAGCATCCCACAGTCGGGGAAGGACCTGCCTTCAATACGAGGGGGATCAGGCCATACTTCCACGCTGGTCAAGTGCGGGTTGGCGGACTTCACATGTATTTCAAAAACTAGCTAGGTTCTCTCAGATAGGTAAGTTTCTACACGATATTTTCTTTAGACGTTAAGTAAGTGATAGCCATGTTGAAAATTATAATATCAGATATGCCCGAGTTTAAAACCCGTGTCACTTTGTTTCCCAAAACCTTGAAGCGTCGGGATAAAAAGAAGACTACATGACGCATTATAGCAATTTAAAAACACATAGTACATAATCAAAATGTGCTAAATCCACATATTATTTTCAAATGAAATCAGTACATCGCTCTTTTAGCGATAAGGCCGCCTCTTGTACCTTCTTCTATATTTTGTATATTTTCTTTTCTCTTTTGGGTGTACAATAAAGCGTTATTCAGTCATTCATTCATACATACATCACAGTTTTTTATTCATTATATATTATAGATATTGGAATCCGTAAATAATAACGGAAAGTGGCCATCATGTTATAGTCTTGCTGTCTTAATTTTTTTTTATCTATCTGAATGCACACAAAGTAAAAGAGCAACAAAAATACACGTACCTATATAAAACAGTTCCATGACGATAGCCCCAGCGCCGTAGTGCGGCGCGTTCAGGAAGAACGTGAACATGGACAGGAGGGTGAACACTACCCACATGATGAAGTACGATCTTATGATACCAGCCCGCTCCTATAAATAATATATGTAATCATTATTTATATATAGTACTAGCGACTCAACCTCGCTCCGAATTCGTGCCGAATTGTCCCATTAGAGTTTGAGAGTAAAAGAAATTGTGAGAGCACTGGTTTGTGCATACACTTGAGCACTTTAGTATCTCCTGAGATGGCTGAGGTTTGTCCCAGTGAGATTGGCCGCCAAGGCAAAAATATGGTCAAGAGAACATTGTAAGATGATTTTTACAAAATAACTAATTTTCTAACATTTGTGAGTTTCAATTATGTATGCTTGTCCGTTTCCTTATAACGAAAGCTTTTCTTTAATAGTAGCCGATTAGGATGAATCTTTCTTGAGTTTTTGTACACGTGACCGAAAATATTTCTGATTATATACCATTAACATAAGATAGATAGTGGGCAAGTAGTATGGGACAATTCAAGACTTATTTGTAAGTTATTAATATAATAAAAATAATACATAAAACCAATTTATTAAAAAAACTGATACTTTTTCACACTCACCGCCACAACTCCATACACAAAGACCATGTCAAATACGAACTTGACGAAGAACATGAGTACTAAGATAATAGACATGACGTAAAGGCCAGTCAAGGCAGCCTCCGCGTTCAAATCCCGCTCTTGTTCTGCTTCATACTTAATGGGCTCTATCGTACTCGCCAGCACTATCATGATTACGAACAGGATGAAGGAAAGTAGCTGAAAATGTAAAAATATTAATATGTAAAATTATAATTTAAAACACTCATGCGCTTCGCTCGGCGTACATTTTGGCTTTCACACATTTGTATTAGCTCGCATCGCTCAAATGTTTGCTGAAGCAAATGTCCTAAGAAGTAATTTTAATAAAAGATTGAACAGCATGCAACATAAAAACATGCAGGTGGTTGTATGAGAATTTGAAGAAAGCCATTAAGTACTATACACTAAATTTCAACAAACTTGTCTCGTTTTAATGGGGAACAGTGCGATTGCTCTCCCATTTTACCATAACATCCGACGATTGAGCTAAAAAGGACTCCATAAATAAAAGTAAAACCGTCGTTACGGTCGTCTCTGAGTCTCGTACATATACGCCCTCGGCTCACTTGACCTTGAGATGAGGAGATTTTAAAGAGGTTAACTTCCTTCCCATGCACAACTAGCGACGTGTATTTTTCTATACTAATATTATAAAGAGGTAAAGTTTGTGAGTTTGTGAGATTGTGAGTTTGGGACGTGGTAGGGGGTAATCTCTGGATCTACAGAACCGATTTAGATGAAATTTGCTAAGAAGATATTTTGATACACTGGGAAGGTCATAGGATAATTTTTATCCCGGATATCATCCCATTAAGGGGTGAAAATGGGGATGAAATCTTGTATGGGGAATCAAGCTAGGGACGAACCCGAGCGAAGCGAGTGTGCGTCGCTAGTCTTCACTAAAATCGTACTAAAAGCATGCCACACCAAAATAGCAGGGATTATACTCCCTACTACACTATCTCACAACACATCATATTGAAACTTGCTTCATTACTAAGTAAAAATATATTAAACACTCTATTGCTTATTATTTTACATACCGCGTTCAAACATCCCATTACTATGTTGCCAGTTTTTAAATCAAAAAAGAAGCAACAGCTTTCAAGCTGCGGTAGACCCATGTTTGCCTGGAACTGTCAAAAGACCTTAATGTTTTCTATTTTGCATACAATATACTCTTATAGTGATATAATATTTTTTTATTTATCTTTAATTTTCGTTTGAATTTTACTTTGCATTAGGTAGATCCTATGACTCCATTGAATGGATTTAAATTAAACCTAGCTAAAGTTCGCAGACAGACATACAGAAATCTAAAAACTGTTGAGATGGTTCCTAAATACAAATTTTACAAAGGAAAAACTTATGAGATTCAGTAATTTTGACCTTGTTATCGTCTTACTACGAGTATAAGCTAAGTAATTAATTTATTAACTTTATTATTACCTATTATATTATTACCTAAGTATGTAATATTAATTAAAGTTTAAGCAATATATGACACACAGACTTCCAGATACCAGATCAATGCTTACGTAATTAGAAATTACCACTTTAAACTTAGCAGTTATACGGTTTACTGATGTAAGTACAATGTACATATATGGACGCTAGCTAGAATATTTTTTCTTTAATTCAAATTAATTTAATACATTAAAAAACAAATTAAAGGTATTATGGGGTTAAATTGGTTACAATAATTAGGGTGGGTAACGAAATATGATAACTTCTATGAAATCAAGACAACTTCACAATATTTTACTTCGATGGTGTGATAAATTTAATTACATACACATGTTCACTAGCATTTTTTAAACACGCAAACACAGAAAAAGACTTTAAAATACTTACATTATGAAAATTTTGATACAGCACTGAGAACGGCGTCTGAGGATACAATAACCGCTTTTGAACGGAGGCTTTGATCTACTCTCGAGACATCATAGAGTAAGTATAAATTGTAGAAACACCCCAAGGGTTTTTTCGTATTAATATATTTTTCTATGTTGTTTTTCGTCATTCTAATATATAAAAGGGAGAGTTTTTTCAACATATATATCTCAGGAACTCCTAGTTGATTTTTTTCCATTTTATGGCTAATATTATTTGAGGAGCGGATCAAATTAAACGCGACCTAAACTGAAGGTAAGAGTTACGTAATTGTTAAAAAAAATGTCTTCTCCATTCAACGTGACATTGGCGAAGTAATCTGTGATCAACTGGCACTCTTTAAAGCCATTCAAGAAAAATGAATTAAATTGTTAAAATAATTAAATTGAAAAATAAATTGTTAAAAGACAACATAAATGATAGAGAAATACAAATAAAAAAAAGATAGCAAATTCGTTATTTTTAAGACAATCGGCAACTTTAATATGGTGTAAATAATAACTTATCGGGCTAAGCTTCTTATCTTTTATTTGTTCACATTTCACTAACATACACATTGGCTTTCTGTTTTTAGCTTATTCTGTGAACCACTCCGGCGTCGGGAAGTCTGGTACTTTAATCAATGATCACTGAAAGTGCGTAAGCTGAGCTGAATATTTAGTGCCAATTTCTCACGTGAGAGGGCGTTGAAAATCATTTCTAAGTATTTTAGAAGCTTAGAAAGCTTATAATTAAAAAATTAAAAAAAAAAATAGAATTAACCTGTTACTTATCTCAATTATAGATTTATAAATAATCGTTACTTTTAAGAATGTCATAAAAATTCAATTAAACTTAATACATCAAATTTAGCCTTCACGTTTTATTAGAATTATTCCGCAACTCTTGTCCGTTTTATAATATTTTGAACTTTCATAACTAATTTCAGCATACTTCAAACCATCTTTGACCATTCAGGCACTTAACTAAAACTTGAATATTTGAGTTTATTTGTTTGAAATAGTTTTCCTTTAAAGTAATTTTGACTGGCTCATTGGTTGAGTGGCTAGCGTGTACGGCTGCAAACCGTGAGGTACTAGGTTCGAAACCCGGGATAGTCAAAAAGTTAGGGTACTACATGTGGGTTTCTCTGTTATGTAATACGCAGTAGCAGAGAGCACGTTAAGTTAACAGTGTTAGTCCTGCACCTTATCTCTCACCGGTCGTATTAAGTTGTTGGCCCACCGGAAATAGATTGAGAATTCAAGCAATAGAGAGTATGTTTGGTACACACTTGTTATCTATAGTATGTACCGTACTTTTTGCAATTTGGCCAATTTGGCCAATGACCCATTTAGCACGAGACCAAATTTTTCACATAATAAGTTATAATTTTTTCGTATAATGTTTCACACTGTTATGACGGCCAGCTTAAATTACCAATACAAAATTTATATTTACATGAATGAGTTTTACACTCTATATGAGTAGGACAAAAAATAAAAATACATACAATTTTGATATAACATATTTTTATTATTTAAATAATTAAATAGTTACATTTCCATATACAATTATATATATAACATGTGTTTTTATAATTTTAAAATTGTTAGAATATTAGAAAAATTGTTAGAAGGCAAATATTTGCACAACTAATATTAATAATTTTGTTATTACTTAAGACGAGTTATAATTTGTACCCAACATTCTTACGTACTGACTCCTTATGACGAGCAGGAAATAGGCGCTGAGTGCTGAAAAAGAATACAATTTCTTCAAAAAGAGAAATGACACACACTAAAAATCTTAGATAAAACTTTTTTTTCGGATTTTATCGCGCTTTGTTTCAAACATTTACAGCGAACACTATAAAAATGTTTTGACGTCACAAAAGTATTAAATCCGAAAAATATTTTATTTAAAATCTAACAAAGCATAGAAAATTAAAATTATTTTCTTACAGTTATAAATTAAACCAACTGATTAGAAATATAAATAAAATAGCCTTTAATTTCTGAAACAAATTGACATTTACATTGACACACAGACACACATGCATATCAGTTTATTTTTTTACTAGATGGCAGATTATTAAGTAAATATATTAATCATTAAATAACAAAAAATAATATCTTTCATAAATAAAGTGATATACCTAATAGTACTAATTTTATTAAAAATATTTATACAATATTGTTAGTTTCTTTTTTTTAATTTTTAGAAGGATTGCTTTAATTATATATTGTCAATAAAAACTGAGTATCTTAGATTTATGCGACTTAATTAAGACAGAAATATAAAATAGGTATATTAAATAAAAATAAGTGTTAAATCGAACAGCCCCAAGTGAATACTATTATGTTTTATAACAAGATCACGTAACCAATAATATTTAAGATTTCATAGTCGATTCAAAAATCAGATCAAAAATGATCAACATCGAATACTGACTTTATTTTCATAAGAGGTAATAAACTTTTTTTTTCATTTATAATCATGTAAAGATATCTTTTCAGATTTTTTCGCGGATTATATATACGTCCGTCGAAACCATGAAAAAGTCCGAAAAGATATGTAGTTTTATTTAAAATGTCAAATATCCGCGTAAAAGCGTTTTTAGTATTCTTACTGAAAAAAGCATATATTTTCTTCAGTTGGAGGCACATATCATATGAGACTGGCTCGACAGAAAACCACCGACACAGATCAGAACCCACTAAAACCTGTGGTTGTGGATTCTGACTCTGTCGGGCCGTTAACACGATGAGAGTATTGTAATTGTTAGTATTGTTGGCAATAATACCCTCATCGATTAAACGGGTCGCCATGGGATCGCATTCCCATTCTAACATTATGCCTAGACAGTAATGTAAAACCTCTGTTGTAAAATATGTTAAAGAAAATCAAACTTACCAATTTCCACAATTCTCCCAACGATACCAATTGGTTCATGAGCTCCCAGAATTAAATTTACAATGAATAGAACCGTGTAAATTATCAAAAATACTAAGCCGTAAACTAGATACGCCTTTACATGGCGAGGTTTTTCCTGAAAAAATAATAATATATAAAGTAAAACGGAAGGAATTTACTTTAAATATTTTTAACATTATACACCCGACTTATGCATGTAATTTTTACATAATCAAATACAACTGTATAAATATTACAATTGAATTTCAACTTTAACCTACGTTACTATCGTAGTTCTATTACTATAACTACTCTATAGTAGTAAAGTTTTATTTTCCTTTTCGTAAGCATGGATGTACTAAAGATTGAAATAAAGATTATTATTATTGTCATAAAGTTAAGTAGTAAGAAAGTATATATACTATTCTTTATTGCACTTATATGTAAAATACAGAGAGTAACAAACAATAAAATTAGTTAGCAAAGGTGGACTTATCTCTAGAAGAGATCTCTTCCAGTCAACCTAAGTGAGTTAGAGAGATAGTATTAAAATGCAGGCTAAAGTGCAGTAACTCAAATGTAAATACTTAAATAAATATATATTATATATACATATAACAAAACATTATACATATTATATACATAAATATATGTACATACTACTACATACACAAATACATATCTATATAATATAATGCATAATAATAGTAGTTAATATAATTATTGTGGAATAACTTGGGTGAGAAAGTGCTGTTTTATTTTCTTTTTAAAGGCAGTTATAGAGGGGCTTAATTAGATGTCTTTCGGAAGTTTGTTCCAGAGCAATGCGGCATACACCGAAAAAGATTGTAGAGAGAACTTAGTGTTGCTCTTGGGTATGTCAAGCATCGCAGTAATGCAAGGCCGCCTGGAACGAGTAGGAGTAGGGAGAATTTGGAAGCGAGAACGAAGGTATGAAGGAGAATTGGGATCATTAAGAATATTGAAGAGGAATGAAAGGATATGCATATCACGGCGAAGGCGGGAGTATTATAGTAACGAAAATTATAATTCTTTGAATGCAGATAAATAGGTAACTTTTGCAACACAATCAGGACGAGATTCGTAGATCACACTTATACTTTACTATTAAGTAGGTACTACTTACAACAAAGTTCCACTTTTAGCAAAAAAAAAAATGTTTCATAATCTTGTCTAATGTTAACTTTATTGTAGAAACGCTTACGCTTCTGAAAGTAAAATCCACTTTGCGAAGACGACTTTGACTTACCTAAAGTAAATCTACGACAGTGAATCTCACTCTAAAACTCTACCAGAATTACATGAATTATGGGTA